AAATTTAATCTTCAATTTAGTAGTTTTTGAATTAGACTCTCAAATGTAACTCTTGAAAGTTGTGTAGGTTTTGAGTTTGTAGATTTCGAAGATAAAGTTAAATTTCAATATGATAACTTTAATTTTATTTTAATATTTTATTTTAATATTTTATTTTCAAAATATATATATATTTAAAATGTCAAATATACTAAAAAATATATATATTTAAAAAAATAGTTTTTAAGTCCGTGAATCATGTGAGCTGAACCTAACGAGTTGAACCGAACTGTTCATGAACTTATAACGAGTCGAGTTTGAGCTTAAAAAAAGTTCGTGTCAAACTCGAACTCGAACCAATTCTTAACGAGTTGAGCCGAGCTGAGGTGGGTTCGACTCGACTCGACTCATTTCCAGCTCTATGAAATCCAATTAAATCTGCACTTTGTTCCTAATAAATCTCTTTGACCTGCGCATAATGATGAGGTATATCCAAGAGGATCTCATCAAATCAAAACACATCTGTCAAGAGATATAAAATAGCAGCGCCTGCTGTATCAGACCAAGATGTCATGACATTTGTCTGAAACACATGACAGTAGTACTGTCATAACAGTTGATGAAGATGTTATAACATCTTGCTTAACATCAGTGTAGAATCATGTTTTTCCAAAATTTTGTCAATCATAGAAACATGGAACTAACAAACTTATCTAGGATATTACAATCATCAAGATAATTTTCTTTGGTGTTAACATCATCATAAGACACTAGCATCATTTTCCACTTTTCTCCAAGCACGAGTAACTTCATTCGGGCCTGACTCCTCAACTAGCCTCTCAATTTTCCTGATCTTTTCCCCTGCAGAACTATCTCTTTCTACCCAGCGGTTCGGTTTCCTATGAAAATGCTCCAAGGTCTGTGTGTTCCAGAGTAGGACCTTCTTCAGAGGCTTTGTTGCTGAAAAATAAACTAGAGCATTTATTTTCATAAGTGAAAATGTTGGAAGTGATTCCTCCGATGATGATGAGGAGGAGGAGGATGAACGCTGATTTAAGAATGCAGACATACTTTTAGATTGAGTTGAAAATATTGGTGATAATTATTGTGGAGAGTTGAGGATATTGGTGATAATTGTTGTGAAGTAACAAGTGAGTGTGTGGTCTTATTTATAGAAAAATGAAATAGTGTAGTAGCCATATCATACAGCGTATCTACCCTTAAAAAAAAACCGTTTTAATTAGAAATAAAATAAAAAACAAATCAAATATGACTTTAAAAAAATGGTTCAACTGAGGTGTCATATGATATGGCGCCTCCTCTGAAAATTAGGGCATGCTTTTGAATGATGTCGTCATATGATATGACACATCAGTTCAATCTGTTTGTATTTTCAATGTTGTCGCCGTATTATATGACGCATGCATGTTAAAAGTGAATTAATTTGATATTTTTTTTTAAAATCTCAGTTATTTTGGTACTTTATTTAAAAATATGTATTATTTAAAAAAAAAAACATTTTGTGTAATGTGTCATGTTTATTGATTTCAGGGGAAATGAATTAATGGTATATTATTTTGGAGAATGCTTCTTACGACGAAATTGAAAAGCAAGAATTGCAAAAAGAATAAAATAACTACCTTTGTTTACAATCCCCACCCCATGATTTTCGTAAAATAAAAAATAAAAATTGAAACCATTCTTTAAAACACTACCATCATTTACAACCACCACCCCGTGATTTTTGTAAAATAGAAAATAAAATTAAAACCCGTTTTTAAAATAGTGACAAGTGTTATTCTTGCGTTTCCTACCAATAGCAGTGCTCTAAGTATTATTTTATAATTTACCATTTGATTGTAGGATATTTATACATAACTATTTTATCTTAATGAATGTAATCAAAGATATTGAGAAAATATATACTACACATTAAATGTTAAAGTTAACAACAAAAAAAATAAATAAATTTGTCACTTAATTTACTTTTTAGGAGTAAAGGTTAAAGTATTTAAAATATTCATTATTTTAGTTGTTAAAATATAAAAATAAAATACGAATTTATCTCATAAGTTTATATTCTTAGTTTAAATATATAGTTTATATCATCTCTTTTAATATATATTCGTCCAGAGATAGTTTATAGACGTTTATTAGTCGCAACACCCGTTTATTGATTGCAGCACTCGACTTCTATTGGGTTTGGGTTGGACCACTCTCACTCATTTCTAAAACATGGTGAATGACGTGTCCTTGGGCACCAACGATGTGGAAGATTCAGTCAAAGGGGGTGGGGGACCAATGTCTCCAATATAATAGGGAACAACGATTTCCACGCTCCTGGGAGATGAACAAAATAATCACTCCCTAAATCCAAAAATCTAGGGCCAATAGACCTTTATAAATACCTCACCACAGGGTTGAAAAGAGGTCATTCTATTCACCTAAAATTCACAGATACAAAGTTTTTCATCACTCCGTGTGAGTTTGCTATGACACCATCAACAACCCTAAAACATCACATACAACCTTTAAAATACAAGATTGACCTTATTGAACGTTTTGGCAAGTACGATCGGGACCCAATGTGGGTCTGATAAAGCTAACTTGGGTCACACTTATTATCATTCACCACTCACTTTTGTCTCCTTCTCCACGAAGATGGCGAAACAAAGCTCAGAGATCATTGTCAACACTATTGCAGGAGGGTTTGTCTAGGGTGGAGAGTCCAGTTATTCCCGTCGAAAGTATGTTATATAGGTTTTGACGACAAGTGTTATACTTGCCTGCTCTAAAATAGGCGAATAGAAGCAATCAGAATCCAAAATCACCTTCTCTGGTGAATACGCCATTGGCATCATCCCTTATAACGATGATTTCATAGTCATCACAGTGCAATATGATAATTGGAACATAAAACTAGTGATGGTTGACCCTAAAAGCCCAACAGATGTCTTGTTCTGAAATGCCTTTGAGAGATTTCGACTTGACCTAAATGACATCCAGCCACTATAAGGGCCTTCGATAGGTCTCTCAAGCGAGCATGTATAGGTTAAAGGATACATAACACTCAAGACGACGTTCAGGTGGGAGACAAGCTCCAAGACAGTCAAGGTAAAATATTTTATATATTAGACGCCTCGTTACCATACAAGGTCATCACGACGTGACATGCCCTTAACCAATTATCTATTGTCATATCCGCCATGCATTTCAGCATGAAGCATCCATTATCCAATAGAGGAGTTGGAGTAATCCTGAGGGACTTAAAGACTGCTCACGAATGTTATCAAAGCGGTTTGGAAATGAGAAAGGAGGATATGACCACAACGGAGGATATGACCACAACCGACGTCCCACAACCAGTGGTGCGAGAAATAGAGGCTACAAATTTGGATCTCAAATTAGATGTGGAGAATGAAAGCCTCACTCCCACAACGAGCCTAAATTATTTATATCTCAAACAAATAAAATTACGTTTCAGAGCAGTAACCAAACCAATTGGCAACAATAAATTAAGAGTAGTAGTCAATTGAATTGACGACTGCACTATGTCTAGCCAATTAAATTGGAGACAATGTATAACCCATTTCATCAATTCAATTGGCTCTTATGTGTTGAAGATTTTTATTTTATTTTAATTAATTAATAAAAATAAGTGTAGTGTTATATTTCCAAAATGTCTTGTCTAGGGCGATGCTCAGAGACCGCTCTAGGAAAATGTGGGGACATAAAGCCACTCACGGGAGGTATCACCTCACTCATAAGTCTTTCTTGCCCATAAAGGGAAATAAAATGCGGGATAAGACGTATCTTGGATAAACACAAAGTCAGAGTCGTTGCTAACCTCCCATCACCTTTAGAAATAGGGATTCAACTCTCCATCATTTGACCGAGTGGACGATGACATTTTTCAAGGTAACCTTAGGTCCTAGAGACCTCTTTAAATCATTACCCCCTCAAGGGGATAAACAGACTCTCAAGTAATAGACATTCTCCACTACTTCAAGAGCATTACGCTTTTAGTAGCCGTAACACACCATCATCCTAATTGTCGCCGGCAACCTAGCAACGTCGGCCACCAATAAGGCCTCTCACCTCACGTGAGCCGGTGTCTTAAATAGACTCAAAAACCACCTCACGGAACTTCTCGCCACCGCGAGCAAGCTCTCACTACCCAAATTATAATACATTTACTAAGCCCTCTGAGTCCCACTACTCATGTAAAGGGAACAACACACACCTTGTACTTTTGACAAATACAACAATTAATTGATACATAATTGAATAACACTAGATGAAAATTCTACCGAAGAACAAACAAAAATTAAAATTAGATGTTATATTATGCTATTGATTACTTCGTTTTTATGAATTCATCGGGTACGATGTCTTCATTGATGCAAGTACGAAATTTAAATGATCCTAAATTATTCTCGACCGATGACATATATGATCAAGCGGGTTGTCGTTGTTAGTGTGAAAAATATTCTCCTATGTACACATAAGAGTCAATTGAATTGACGTCTGCTCCTAAATTATACGTTGTCGCCAATTCAATAGACTAGACATAGTATATTCGTAATTCAGTCAGTTGGCTAGTGCTCTTACTTTAGAAACATGAGTCAATTGGTATTAATATTGGTATCAATATTGCTCTGAAACATAAATTTTTTTAAACTCGAATACTTTAGAAATTAATTGAAAAATATGATTGTTTGAAAATTTTATTAAAAAATATGGTTATTTAAAAAAAGTCTAACATTACCCTATTTTAATTAATCATATAATAATAATTTAATAAATTTATTAAATTCTTTAATTTATACATTTTCATTAACTATGTTTATATTTTTTCTTTATATTATCTTTATTCTTAATTTTATAAAATTTAAATAAATATTATTTCAACTATATTCATAATATGCAAATTCTTAACAAAAAAAAACTACCATAATTTGCATCTGTTCCTTAGAATTTACTTTCTTTGTTTGTGGTTTGATTTCACTGTCTCAATCTGAATGGAGCTCACTCTTCCTCAACCTCAATTGCACCCCAAATGCCTTCCATTTCCCTCTCTCAAATCTAGGGTTTCTGTTTTTCAGACAACACCATACCCACCTTTCCAAGCTTCAATCGTTTCAGCCAATCAACGCTATCTCACGCCATTGAATACTCCCAGAAGCATCTCCACCTCTGCTTTGCTGGGTGGCAACAACACTTCAGTTTCCCCAATTGACTCAGGTCTTTCTTCTTTTTCTTAACCCTCCGCTTTGCCCCTTTTGAAAGTTTGGATTTTTGAATTAAATTTGAATGCTTTTTTTTATTATTTTCAGGTGCTAGAATTGGAGAGGTGAAAAGGGTCACCAAGGAAACCAATGTTTCAGTCAAAATCAACTTGGATGGATCTGGGATTGCTGATAGTAGTTCTGGAATTCCCTTCCTTGATCATATGCTTGATGTTAGTGTTTTCAACTCTATTTTTATTATGCTTCTGTTACTTTTTATCTATCAAGCACGAATCGCAGATATACCGAACACGATCGGAAAATCGGAATAGTTAGAATCAGATTGAAATGATAATAAGGGTTTTGATTTTGTTTTTGAATTAGTCATTAAGGGTTTTTATTGTTAAAGGTTAAAATTGTTGAATGCATAGACCATTTATGGGAACAAACTGGTTCTGATTTTTCAGCAACTTGCATCACATGGACTGTTCGACGTACATGTAAAGGCTACGGGTGACATACATATTGATGACCATCACACAAATGAGGATGTCGCTCTTGCTATTGGAACGGTACTGCCAACAGCTATGTGAGCTGTTTATTTCTATTCTTTTTGGCTCTACTTATTAAAATTCTTCCTGGAAATTTGAACATGCTTCACTGTTGTAGGTTAAGGATATTGCTTAAAGATTGTTGTTTAAGTTGTATTTGACTTTTTCTTTCTACGCAAAATGCAATCCAACTAATTGGTGACAACTCTAACAACTCTAACAATGCTTATAATCTTATCTTATGACAGTGGAAATTTTCAATCAATGTAGAACGTTGTTTTATTGTATATTTGCATCTATCTATTATCGAATCAAAACTTAGATTTATGTTTCTTCATCTCCAGGCTTTGCTGCAGGCTCTTGGTGATAGGAAGGGTATTAACCGGTTTGGTAACTTCTCTGCTCCACTCGACGAAGCATTAGTTCACGTTTCTCTGGTAATTAGTGTACTGTTTGCAGCATGTGTAATCATTAACTCTGTTATACATTTAAGTTAATGTGTACTGGGGGAATACAAAAGTTTTGTCCTTGCTTAGAAATACAGTAAATGGATGAATAAACTTTGAAACAATGTAATGGCTTTAGCACGGGCCATTACATTTGATTATCCACATCAATACTTTTGTGACTCAAAAAGTTCAGCTATCAATGGGGCACCAGGGAGCTTGTGGCCTTGTGTCAATGCTTTTTCATTTACTCTAGCAGTACTTGTACACGAGGTTTCTGAAATGAAAATTTGAAACTTTTAATGATCATCCTGGTCATATTTATAAGCTTATTTTGTTGCTATAATCTATGTTTTGCGCCTCACTAAAGCTTTCTTCCCTTACCTTGTCCAGGATTTGTCTGGCCGACCACATCTAGGTTATGATTTAGACTTACCTTCTCAGAGGGTTGGGACATATGACACTCAGGTGGTACATGTCTTTTTAATTACTTAAAGCCTCAGCTACGCGTTTTGTCTGTATAGCTTTTAACTATTGAGCTTCATATTTTGTCATGTAACCATGTTACTCGTTCCCTTCACCTCTCCCCTTCATTCTTTTCACTTACTGACGAGTCCTCTAAATATCCTTGTTTGTAGTTGGTGGAGCATTTTTTCCAGTCTTTGGTGAACACGTCTGGTATGACCCTTCACATTCGACAGGTACTAATATATAGAATAGAGGTCAAAGTCTGTCATAGTCGTTGCATTTGTAAGTATATCTATGCATTTCATCATGAAGGAAACATACCAAACGTTATAGATGTTTTATCAGGGATAAATGTTCTTGTTACATTCTTTATGAATTTATTATATATTGCAACCTCATTTTTCGGGGTCTACACCTTCTTTTATATATATATATATATATATATATATATATATATATATATATATTTTATTCCAATTTCAAATTCATCTGTTTGCAGTTTTCCGGAACGAATTCCCATCATATTATTGAGGCAACCTTCAAAGCATTTGCCAGGGCTCTTCGACAAGCGACAGAGTATGATACACGTCGCCGTGGAACAATACCAAGGTCTAGTATCTCAAAACATTTTTCTTAAAATTTTATACAAAGATGATTGTAATTAGATTGATTACATGCCTACTTTGCTGCTAGAGTTTCATAAGTATTATTTACACTTTTTCTTCTCATCACTTGCTTACAACAAGAAAATTGTTCAACACCTGGATTGAATGTTCAATTCCTTGTTTTTGCGAAGGATAGAAATAGAATAATCAATTTTACTCTTTAGAATAAACATTATTTACATTATCAATCATCATATTAATTATAACACTAGCTAATAATTTTAAGTTAGAGTAATCATGGTTTTGTTTGTGTAAATACTTTTGCAATCACAGTTATATTTTTTTTCTATTAAAACTGTGTAAATTTCTTGGACTATGCAGTTCGAAAGGAGTTCTCTCGCGCAGTTAATATCTTCAGCTGCTATCCATAATTGGATCAAGCGACTTCTGCAAGGGGACCTCTGCAGTTCACCAAGCATATCCATCCAAATGGTCTTTACTGTATTCATAGCCTCCGTATCTGTAAACAACATTGTTGTACTAGGTTATTCTAGAAGTTTAAGTTACTTTTCTTATCACTTTTTTTTCTTTGTACATAAGGTTTTGAACCAAATGAGAATCAGTTTCAATAAGAATATTCTGAAATTAAATAGAAGAATGTATGAATTCAAAAAATAAAATGTATGAATTATTATTATTATCATCATTTCATCTTAAAGAGCATATGATCCTACTGTATTAAAATCACAAGAATAGAAAAAACACAAGTTTGATCAGTTTCTTTATTACAAGAATTTGCTACTCCCATGCTATCTGCTTCTAAATACATTCTGTAAGATTTTCTACAAAGAATCTTCCGCAGTATTCAGATAATCTAATATTTCAGACTTCACTTCTTCCGGCAATGAGGCTGATGGCCCTGCCCTTGAGTAAAAGTTTGCCAAAGATCTTACTGCTTTTACCAAAGCAACATATGATTCCTACAATGAATCAATCCAAAGCATGAGTATATAATTACAATGAAATTCAATGCTTTTAAGTTCAGTCAGTACATACTTCTTGCGCAAGAGTCTGGTTTCCCCTCCAACTACCAAGATACTCGTTAATAGACTCCTTTGCCGCATCTGCAGTTCGTCTAAACTTGGCATTATCATCAAGGACTTCATTTAAAGATTCACGCAGTGTTTTCACCACTTCTTTTGCTGACTTTATGTAAGCCTTTGGCAAAACCTTTCCCGACTTTGTCTTCTCATTGGGGTCAAACAACGATTTGATGGCCCCAATAACACCATTATCATTCTCCTCTTTGTCATCTGACTTCTCTTCAGCCCATATCACTAACGGTGATAAACCATAACATGTTATCGCAACCAATGAAGCGCCAACATTGATCGAAATGTGCCTGCGGCTCGAAACCCGTGCAATATTAGACTTGGATTGCAGTTTATCTGTTGTATTGCAACTGTCAATAAAACAGTAAAATAATGTCTCAAGGAAAACAAAAGTTTCAAAAATTTAGGAAATAGTACCTTCAATGTCAAATCTTTTGATCTCTTGAGGTTTTTTAGAATTTGTGATGGAACACATGCTCGCTGCAAAGGTAACAGCCATTCTCCTTTTCTCTCTGTTAAGGTCGACCTTCTTCTTCTTCTTCCTCGAAGAATAGGTTGATAGATTTTGAGCGGATCGGAAGCAAAAGGTTGCACTTTTTCTTTTGAAGGAAAAATCACGCTAAACGAGGAGATTACAGAGAATCGGTGCTCTCAAAACAATGGGGACGAGAAAGGCACGGACAGCGGGAGGTCGGAGAATGGAGTTTGGGTGGCGGTGCGTGGTGGTCTTCCCCTGTTTCACGGATAACGAGTATGTGAAGAAGAAGAATCTGTGGTGTGGGACTGAAAACCAAAGGATAGCGCTGTTGGATGAATTTGAAAATTTATAGAATAAAAATTGGTTTAAAACATTTTTTTTTAAATAAAGAAAAAAATAGACACTCCATCTAATTTTACATTATACACTAAACTCCTCTATGGTTTCTTAATATAGATAAAAAAAATCTCTTTTATTACCTAGCATTGCTTTCAAAATCTTTTAAAATAGATAAAAATCTCTCTATAAAAACTTAATATTTAATATTTTTTATAGGAATGACAAATAAATTTGAACCAATAAGACTCTATCGTTCCACTCTTAATTTAGTTGAGAAAATCTGATTTAATTAGATGGGGTAGGTGCGGAAAAATTTAATTTTTAATTATGGGTGTGTGGGTAGGGTCGTGATGTTAGTACTCGTCTCGTAACTACACTACTTTTATTATCCTTATGTTTAATTATTTTATTACTCATTTTACATTTTTTAAACTTAAAATATCAAATTTATTAGAATTATTATTTATATTTTTGAAAATACAAATAAAAATGATTAAGCATTATGATTACTCTTAAAATGATCAATTATTTTTTTTTATTATTGTGAAAAAAATATGCATTTAAAAAAATATATTATAACTTATGCGGGTGGAGGCGGAGAAACACATTTTTTTGTTGGGGGCGGGGACCAATTATTACACCTAACTTGATTTGGGGGTGGGTTTGGTTTTGGAAGGCGGGGGCAGGACTGTGTTTACTTGAAAATTTGATAAATAAAACAAGTTTTTATTAATAATTAAGGTATCAAACTCGAAAATCTTCTAAAATACATTTGCATGCATTTAAAACTTTGAACAATATCTTACTGTTGAAATTGAAAGATGATATTTTAAAAAGTAACAATTGTATTTGTGAGAAAGAATTGGAACATAGATTTTGAAAATGAAAGTGATTGGAAAAGAAATGCAAGACTAAATAAAATAACAAGAATTATAATGCGAAATCGAAATGTAACTTAATGCAGGAAAAATGTTCGAATGTAAAATCGAAATGTAACTTAATTGCAATTCTTGTTGTAATTAATTAATTAGTTGAAGTGTAAAAAAACTAATTAAATGTTATTCTCTCCTTCACAAAAGTAAATGTCATATTTATAAAAATTATTTGTCTTAAAATAAGTGTTGTTTTTAGTTTTTAATGTATTTTTAGTTTTTTTGTCTTTCAATTGTATCCTTAATTAATATTCTTAATTTACTATTTGCTCCCCTTGCATCAATGATAATTGAAACACACAAATAATCAATAAAAATAATTTGGTAAAATCGACATCCTCTCTCATTCATTTATCACATATTCTTAATTCGTGTGAAAGCTAGGGGTGGAAAAACGGGTCTGACCCATTTGACATGTCCGTTTTGTCTGCACTTTAGTGCAGAGCGGATTGAGAATTTAGGGTTGCACCCTTTAATGTATTCGCCCCGCCTCTTTTTTTCCGGGCTTTTGCAAGTATAAACAGGAACATAAAATTTAAAATTTTAAGCTTAAACATGTAATGCCTACGACCCTGGTGTGGAGCAGGACAGGGTTTTAAGCCTACACCCTTAACTATGTTCATTCTGCTTCGTCCCATTTTTTGCAGGTTTTTGCAGAGCAGGGCTAAACGGAACGAACATGCTTGTTTGCCACCCCTAGTGAAAGTGTTTAATATGAAACTTATTTTCGGATAGGAGTAGTATTTTTTTTTTCATTTCATTTTGGTTAATTGCAAACTAACTTGTTGGTAACTTGTAATTGCCATGGAATTACCGAAAAATCTGACAGGTTGCATGCATCATTTTGGTTGACTAAATTAACATACAATATTATTTTAACAAAAATAGACAGAAGACCTAAAAAATTATCTTGTAAAGTCAAAGTTGATATAGTTGATAGACTCAAATTTGTCATAAACATATGTCAGCATTGTAACAATCAAATTGACAATGACACTTAACATGTACATTATATTCCTAACATAGTAATCATCAAGTAAAATATCTTCAAAATCATCTACATATATCTAACATTAAAATATATCCTTAAAATCATCTACATCATATTTTCTAAAAGATTAGATTAAGATTATCTTCTTCATGAATGAGCATTTTCACGAGCGACTTGATTATTTCCCGAGTAATATTGACTTGTAGCTCCATGATGACTTTTCATTGTTGTCTCTTGTTGTAGGATTTAAAATATGACATTGGTCGATTAACTTTGTTATTTAATGTCTATTAAAGGAGAAAATTTAGTTTTTAATTTACCATGTTTGCATTAGCATTGTTATTGTTTTTTTTATGTCACACCTTCAATTTTTCTTTTTGCACGTAAAACAAATCTGTCAATATTCATGTGAAAATAATTCCTCCAAAATTTGTATGTTTATTGCTCATACCTTTTTTTCAATTTTATCACTTTGACAACCCAATGTATTTGGTCCGAATTTCCTACAATTTTCACATCTAATTTGTTGTGAATCGGATACCTTTAAACAAAGTATAAACGGTTTCTTAATGATCAGAAACTCACAAGGGTTAGGGTTAACAAAGAAAACAAGGTAAAACACCAAGGAACAACAAGGATTGGTTATTAAACTGTTATTCTTTCCTTTCTCTTAGAATAAGATTACAAGTATACAAGAATAACAAAATAACCTCTCTCCCTTGAAATTAGGATTTTATCTTCCTATTTTTCCTTTTGCCAAGATTGAGAAACTAGCATCCTATTTATAAGCAAAATAGCACACTAACCTAATGGACTTTTTAACAATTACCCATTACAAGCCAACTTAGGGTACAAGCTAACTTAAACAATTGGGCTTACAAGGAAGGCCTAATTCAACATGCTAACAACCCTAGCAATATTGACTAATGCATGTTAGAATAAACTTCGACTACAACACGCATTACTTGTGAACAGACTTCGACTATACTAGAGTTCGATCCAACATCTCACATAACTGTATTTAGTTTTCTTGCATTTTAAGGACCACCCGGACCTTCGATCACATTTTTCTTTCAATTAATTCTTGGTTAACCAGAAAGTCTTTTCAATACAAGAAGATCGATATTCTCATAATTGCCTCTATTTTTTATGTATAACTCAAACATAAGATGTATTATCTCATTATAACATAAGTAATAGAGTTTTGTAGTATACACATTATCAACAAATTATTTTACATTGTTTCTCTTGTAAGCAATGCATGCACATGCATGTTTGCATGGTAAACCATACACCCTCCAATAATTGCAGCCACATTTTTCTCCCTTGTATGTAATGCATGCACATGCATGCTTGTAGCCTCATTACTAACTTTCCTGAGGTTTTTCATGAATTTGTCAAACAAAAACTTAGTATATGTCATTGTAACATTAAAAAATTATGCACTAAGAAGCAATGTATTGAAATTGAGTTTGAAATTGTTTAATAAATGATTAAAACAATACCTATAAAAATAATAAAATAATAATTAGTACATAATATACAAATAAAACACATAAAAAAGTTGTAGTGAATGAAGTTCTGCCCTCTCTCTAATTTATTTCTTTTGACGGAAAATTCTTGTGATGGAACCTAAGTTTATATTTTCCACTTTAGAGGAAAATAGTAACAAGAAACTTCCTAATATTTTTAAAAAAAGGAACTCCATCAAAAATCTCTTGTCATGATAAGTTGATTGGATCGACACAAGTTCCTTCTGTTAGAGGAAATAAGGATATGATAGCCAAGAAGCGGGTTCGTATAGAGTTTCAAAATGGAAATATACTTTTGCCAAAGTTTAATTTGAAGGAAGATGTTTCTAAGGAAATGTGTACGCCATGGATCAATGATGTTGTTGTTAAGATTTGTCAGAGTTTGCATAGAGGTGGATCTCTCACCCTGCTGGTAGTTAGTAAAGTTTGGGTAAATGGTTATTGGTGAAAAATACAATATGAAGGATTATATAGCATCTGTATGTTCTAGATGTTGTGGTCATTTAAGTCTTAATTGTAGCAAACAAAATAATTCTTAGAATGAAAGTTATAAAAACAAGAACAATCAAAAGGAGAAATCAACATATCATGATCCATTTGCATCTATTGAAGCTTTATCAATCTCTTCCTAGCAGGTAGTCATTATCAATCTCCTCATCTTCGACAACATCTTCTGCATCTTCTTCAACTTCATCTGGGGTAAGCAATTCAGCATTAACATGCTCCACCTCAACAGGAATCTCTCCCTGTTCCAGCTCTTCGTCAGCATCATCAGTTTTCTTGAAAGCCATCTCTGCTTCATTGAAAACTACATCTCGACTGGTGATACACCTCCTGTGACTTGGCTCTATGCACCATAGCCTATAAGCTTTGACTCCTTCAGGGTATCCCATGAACATGCACTTCAGAGCTCTAGGTTCGACCTTGTCTTGCCTAATATGAGCATAGGCCACACAGCCAAATACTCTCAGTCTGTCGAGACTAGGTGGATGTCTCGACCAAACTTCTTCAGGTGTCTTCATTCCCAAGGCAGTCGAGGGGCATCTATTTATCAGGTAAGCTGCTGTCGAAACAGCTTTCGCCCAAAACACCTTCTTCAATCCAGCGCTAACCAACATGCATATGACCCTTTCAAGGATTGTTCGATTGAATCTCTCAGCTAAGTCATTTTGTTGAGGAGTACCTGCTACAGTCTTATGCCTTGTAATCTCAGACTCAACACAGTAA